GCGCAACCTGCGCTCTCGCTGTAGAACATACTAGGTGGTCTTTCTTGCTCTCTTTTTAGAAACTTCTTGCTTTTCCCTATAAGGCAGACCTTAAGGCCTTAAGTATTGGAACTGCAATAACTGATGTTTAACAGCAAGTCAGTGGCTAAGAGTTTGGTCTGTGGCCTTAAATATGCCTTAGTTATTCGAACCAGAAGAGCAAAACAAACTTTTAGTTTAAGACTTCTTTCCCTTACCCCCGGGCTTTTTGCAGGACCTTCCAGTTCACCTGGCTGGAGGAGGACCCTGAACCTGGACGGTGGCGCAAACTCCGTGTCCGCGCCCATGCAGGCGCACCCTCACACGCACACACTTGAACGCTTAGCAAACCTTTTCCAAGGCTGTTCCCTCTTTCCGGGGAAATAAAGCCTAGATTGGAACCTTCTGCCCAGCTTCCTCATTTGGCCGTCTGGTCTGCATTAGTGTTTTTATAAGGGACTCAAACAAATCGAATACAAGGTCACCAAATAATTAACAGTTGTGAATTCCCTCCGTCCCCATTAAAATACTTCCCTGCTTATATTTCATTTTCGGTTTGCCAACGACAACAGGGTACCGGCAAAAACACTGCCGAGTTGATTACACCACTCTGCGGCCCAGGTCCACCCAGAAACCCGCTGTTTTGCATAACATGAGGTACCAGATGAACTTCAATCGCGAGGGAACTACGCAACTCTCTGAATGCCCTACCCACAGCCAGGCTATTCCTAGAATGGTCCTGCTCTGCCCTTTGATAATCACGACCCAGAAGGTGAACGGAGAAGCCAACAAACAATCAGTGGCAAACTGTCCTGACAGTTATTTCTAGGGCATCAAGTTCTTCAAGGATGTTCCCATCTCGTTTTGATTTTTATCTGTTCCTTACCGCCTCCTTTTTGAGAGTATTATTACAATAAGAAAAAAGTAAAGGGTATTCTTATTTCAAAGTAATCTGGAAACCTAACTCACAGTAATAGTCTTAGAATTATTTTGGTTCTCTCATTCTTGAGAGTTGTTTTTTCCCCTTGTTGAAATTATGTGGCACTTTTCACTACATAAACTGAAAGTCTGAGTCTCTCACTCTCTCTCTCTTTCTCTCTCTCTCTCTCTCTCTCTTGCTCTTCCTCTCTATCTCTCAGCCCTGCTGAATTCATAGAACTAATTGTCTGGCTTTCTCAGGCCCCAGGGCTGGGGGTCCAGGGCCCCAGGACTAGTAGCCTTTTAATGAGTTATTTCATGAGCAAATTGTAATTTCACCATATCCAACTTTGTCCATTCTCATCCCATGATGGCACTGAAACACATATGCACACACCTTCTCACCTTTATGGATCCAACATCATTTTAAAAGCACAATATAAGAGCATTTTTTAAAATCAGGGATAACATGGTTTGTGCCTCTGCTAAAATAAGAACAGGAGGCAGCAAGGCACACCAAAATTCAGACCCTCACATCTAGTTTCACTCACACTCCTAACTCGGTCTTAAGTGACTGCAGACAAATTATTAGACTGGGGGAAAATCTTTCCATTTTTTGACTTCCGCTTCTTGTCACCATCCATTAGAAACCACCTCACCCCTTAAATTATCTATGCAGTGCTCTAGTTAAATATGCAGGGTCTCGAATCTTATATGAGCCCCACCTCTCACTAACTGTGTGACCTCAAGCAACTTGCTTAACTCCTCTGTCTTCTTTACTTCACCTGTAAAACGTGGTGGTGATAGCGTTTTCCTAGGAAGTGGTTGTGATAACTAAGCGAAATAATTCATGCAACAAAATTTAGTGCAATACTTGGTACACAGTAAATTTTCAATAAATCGCGATTACTATTACTCCTAGGTGTCTGGAGAGCATACTGAAAGAAGGGACCTGTTTTAGGTTTTTGTTGTCGTTGTTGTTATTGTTGTTGTTGTTGTTATTGCAATAAGTTCTCCTCCTGGAGGATAGGGAGAAGTGGCCAGGGATGGGGTAGTACAGAACTTGCTTTCTTTATAAACCTAAAGCGTCCTTCGTTCACTTTGGGCAGAGTTTATGCCTGCTCTCCCACTCTCAACGATAGGCTTCAGGTGTAACTTTGGGGTTTCCGGGGTACGGAAGGCTTTTTACAGAGCATATTGCCCATGCCTCCTGGACTGGCTTCGGGGCTCCTTTCCTTTCCTTCGCTCCTCCCCTTGGGGGACCCCTGGCTCCTCCGAGCCAGGCCAGCCCCACTCGACGGCGATTTAAACATCCCTTAGGCGAGGCGGCAAGTTAGCGCTGCTGGTCCAGCTCTAGGCGGGCCGCTGCTCTTTCCTCCCCGCCAGGCTGTCCACGCTTTGGGGGAGGGGACCTTAGGGGGTTTGGCGCGGTTAAGAGCCCCACGTGAGAGGGGCGGAAGTCCTCGCCAGGAGCCGGGGATGCGCGGCTGGCGGGTCCCTTCCATCACGGGAGACGAGACACCGTTTGATGTGTTATGACATGAACCCTCAATTAGATCGCTGAGTTGAAACACTCCAATCAGGGGCCCGATGCTAAGCAAGCCCCGGAAGGTCCAGCCTGAGGTCACCGCCGGTGACACATCAAATCAAAATCAGTGAGAGGGAAAGTGAGGCTTTCCCTTTATCAAGCTGGGGCTGCAGCCAGCAACGCACCCCCTCCTCTACGCACCCCTCCCGCCCGCGGCTCCGCACTCCTTCACCCCCGCGCGGCGTGCGACAAGCCGCACCGCCTTCCCAGTCAACGAACTGCCTTTCTTCGCATTTTCTGGGAACCTGGAGACGCCGAGAAGACCGTGCCTTTGAAGCTGCGGTCCGGGTGGTCATGCAGCGTCTCCTCCCGCTGTGGACCGCTCGCATCCCCAGCCCTCGACGGCATTCCGGAGTTGTAGCGGGCCTTGTGGATCTTGGTCCTGCTAGTCTGGAAGCCTTGGCTCGGGAACAGAGGCCTCCCCAGACTCGGTGCACATGCAATCCCTCCTCTATCTCCAGGATCCGGGGCTCACAGCGCAGTGGCGGGGGTGGGGGTGGGGAAGCTACAGGGCAAACTAGGGTAAAGTGATTTCTCGTCTACGCCGGATTTGGGGCCCCCCAAGACTTCTCCCCATCCGTTGTCTTAATGCCACAGGCTTCCGGAGACACCTCCGAACAGCCCTCAGGGTCTTTTGGTCCTGTGCCAAACTCACAGGGCACAGCGAACCAGTTAGGGTGCCCACTTGGGCGAGGGGCGGAGATTCTTGCCACTTTATTCCCAGGCAAAGAAAATCCGCGCCCAACCGCCGGCCAGCCTAGGCCTCTGGCACTTCTCTTGAGGAAGGGCCTCTTGAGCAGTCTTCTCTGAGCTTCCTTAGCCTCCTTCCGCAAGTGTAGTACTGAAAGTGCACGATTAACAGAGGACTTGGAGGCACAGAAACAACTGTAGCAAGGCGTGCGTCGTGGGGAGGGTTGGTGAGCTGCACCGGCAACACGGAGGCCAGGGACTCAGTTGCACCACTACGAAGAAGCCACGTGTCTTTGCAAAGGTGACTTTACTAGTCCTAAAATCACCATAAAATACCCGGCGTTAATTTGCCCTCTGGACCTTTCAGCAGCTCATGAACCTCGCTGACCTCAGGCTGCAGCGGCTAACCCGACGTGGGCAGGACCCTGGAGCAACGAGCGCGACTACGAGTGAGAGGCGGGGACTGGAGTCAGGGAAGAGCCTGGGGCTGGGATAGGGGGGCGGGCGCCGTTAGCCTGCTCTAAAAAGCTTAGGAGATGTGCGAGCACCGAGGGTAGCAGTGGCTGAAGCAGCTTCCGAAACCCGAACCCCAGCGCTGCAAGGTTTCTGGGCAACCCCACTTAACTGGGAGCAGGTCAAAGTTATGGAGCTAAGTCTAGAGAGGATGGAGGAGTGGATATCTGCCTAAATCTCATTTATCCCCTCATTTTCTTCCTTCTCTTTCCCCTTCCTTTCCTTTTTCTCCCTTCCTTTCCTGTCTCCTTCCACATTATTGTCTCTCTCCTTTAGGAGCTGAGTTTCCGATGCCTGTGGATCCTTCCCTAATTTCTGGGACCAGAGGTGGTGCGAGGTTTTCTTGAGGGCACTGGTCACGCTGCAGATCAACGCCGGTGACAAGAAGGGGCCGCAAGGGTTTCCGCAGACACCCACACATACAGGCGCCCCCACAGAGGGTACCAGGGATTTCCCCGACCCCCACCAGCCCCCAGGAATAGCGCAGAAAGAGGAACGTCGCCTGGCTGAGAAAGGTGGATGGGCATACTGGTGTACCTTTGTGTATTAAGTACCCACAACCTCCGAACTTAGCCGTCCCTGTCCCGGCCCGCCCAACTGCTGCTCCGCATCTGCAGAAACCACTCGGGTTGAGGCCTCGGAGCAGCCGGGAGCGCCACGCTGGAGCAAAAAAGCCGCAGGGCGCAGGGCTACAGCCCGGCTGACCACCTCCGCACCCAGCGCGGGGACCAACCGAGAACCCGCGCGGCGTCAGGACCAAGGGGCTGCCCGACGCCACTCGTGGACTAGCTCCTCAGACTGTGGGATTCGCTAGTGCCAGCTTTGCCCAGGGCTTTCCAAGGCTCTCTCATGCCCTAGATCTGCCCCAGCAGCTCAGGCCTTGAACTGCGAACCCAGTATCCCAAGACACCGATTCCATCAGTCCCCATCCCGACCCCTCTCCAGCCGGGTTCATCCGCCTGCTGCCTCCCGTCCTCCTCGTTTCCCCCACCAGCCACCAGACAAGCGGCAACCACGCCGCCTTCTGCAAAAGAGGAAGAAGGAAAGAAGGGAGAGAGAAAAAAAGAGGGGGAAGGAAGGGAGGATTAGAGACGAATAGAATCTGCAGCCGCATTCAGAAACTTACTCGGGCTTGAGAAAAACAATTTAAGAAAAGTAAAAGGGAAGTGTCCAGAGTGGGAAGGGAATTCACAAATGCAGCCTCCGGCGGGAAGAGCGCCCTGGCTGCGGAGCTCCAGCAGGAAGGGAGTCGAGCGTCTTGTTTGCCACTTACCTAGTCCCCTGTCTACAAAGCTGGTGATCGTGTTAGCCGACTTGGAAGACTGGAAAAAGCTGGTATTGATGCCCAGCTTCTCGGCGATGGAGTAAGTCCTGTAGATTGACAGCATGTACTCGTGGGGCACCACGCGCGGACCCCTGCCTGGCGGCTCCTGCGCCCGGGGCTGCTGA